CGGGTTCCGATACAACCGAGCTTGCCTCTAGAACCATGAGGGCTTATACAGAATTCATCTCCGCATTGCTTGGGGAAGATGTAAGCTCCAGCAACCTCTCTCTCTCAGATACAGGTCTAGGGGCACCGTGGGCACCCACTTCAAAAGCAAAATGCTATACGGTTTTCAATGCAAGAATGGTTTACGGGGACCCGGTTCAAGTAGTTGTCCTGGGTTTGTTCTTATATAACTATATACAACTTGTGAGACTTGGTGAAAACTCTTACTTCAGCCGTTTCTTCACCTGCCATGGGATGGATGAGCAAGCACCTGTTATTTGACCGTTTTGCACTATGGTGGATTCGATGACTTGGCTGCTTTGCCAGTACATACAGAAGTGTTGGAAGGCCACAAGCAACTGTTCCCTTCCCTTCCCTTCCCTTCCAAAGGTGGCAGCTATCCCCTTGGATACACTTTTACTAGCAGTCTCGGCGTTTTGCTGTAAGCTGTTTCTCAGGCGGGAATGCGACGAACATCAGTGGCTTGACTCTCCAATGACTAACGGGGCTGAGCATGGTGGTCTCAGTGTTCCTCAGACTGGTATAGTCAGGTTCATCATAATATGGCACAGGATGAAACAGTCAACCATCGAAGAACTTTGTCAGTATCCAACCAATTGTCACCCAACTACCCAACTATCCAAGACTATAGGCACTATATATATATATTATATGTATATACAGGAGTTGCCCAAATCTGCTCAATACCATCGCCGTGACCATCACCAAAATGAGACGTCGATGTTGGGAGGGAATGACTCCTGCTGGGTGAGCACCCCTACCCTTTGACCAGTGAAAGGCTGCCTAGCATCAATCTGGAAGGGAATTCTACAGGCCATCGCTTGCGGGAGGACTGATAGTTGCTAGAATACATCATCATACTCAACCACCTGTTACCACATGTTTTGCCACTGACTTTGGATGAAACAACAACCACCGATCGATTCTCCGGTCCCGAGTTCCGTTCTTTCTTAGCTCCGGGTCCATCCGTGTCCTCCGAACGTCGCTCCATCCGCCCGCGGTGTAGAAACGCCTGGATCGAGATCAGCAGGTGAAAGCAGGTTCGATTTACGAGTCGCGGGTTGGTCAAGAAACACCATGCCTTTTTTGGTGCGTGTTGTTTGAAGGAACTCTTTCGGTCGGATGTCGCCGGTATTTCTATGTAAGTGCTTTCGTTGGTGAAGATTCTCCTTTCTTGGGAGACGCCGATGGATGATTTAACGACCAGGTAAAGGTGCCGGCTGCCCGAGTCTAAGGCGTGTTCTGTTCTCCACAGGCCGAGGGTGGACTGGTGCAGTGGGCTTGGCGTCAAAACAGACCAGACCAGAGTGTGCATCCAGAAGTTTGGAATTCTTTGTCTAAGTTGAGTGGTCATAGGATCATAGGATCATAGGACACCCAAACATCCTCAATCCTTCGAGATATTTTTGTGGATCGAATCACGACAGCTCCTCTGGCTATTGAACCCCTCCCAACCAGCGGTCCGGTCGAACCTGTGCTGGTGCGTTGCCCCCCCCATGGGCAGAACCATGCAAAACCCTTGGCTCGGCCGCGCTGCAGGAGTGCCCCCTCATCCATGAGGTGTACTTGACAAAGACGCAGTACTTCTCCTACAATGCCTCCGAGGCCTGGACCGTGTTTCCGCGTGGCGAAGGTGGGCAAAGGTATGCGAAGGTGGGTCCAGGTGGGGGAAGGTGGGTGAGGGGCGAGGCAAGATTCAGGTTTGGGTTTTGATGTTTTGATGTGAAGTATTGAGACTGAGAAACCTTCCAAGCAGTGAGTTTATGTCGATGTGTCAAAACGCACCTGTGTGACGCATCCGTCGCACCGGTGTGTCAAAACGGCGCTCGGAACGGCGGTCGAGGTTCTGCCGCCCCGAAGGGCCGATGGACAACGAAGAAGCAAAGTGAAGCATGCAAAACGACTGAGCTGAATTTGAAGTTGGCCAAGCTCAGACACAACCAGAATTCGAAGTTTCTTTCGTGAGCTTCCAGGTGACATGCTTCCCCAAGCTGCACTTTGCTTTGTCACTACAAGCGTGGTAGCATGGTCATCAGAATCCAACTGACGCCGGGTGGTTTCAGGTTGTTCTGTGGAACCTCAATTTTCAAAATTTGTCCAGACTTTCAATTGAAGCAACAGCGATAGTTCCAACATTCTGTGGTTAGCTGGAATCTCATGGAGTCCCTCGTGTTTGACATGCAAACAAATACGTTTTTCCGCTTGTTCCCCCCTCACGACATGCCTACCCCCATGATCGACGAGAACTGAATGCCTTTGGCTGTGACAGGCACAGGCATGCTTCCTCAGCGCCAACAGTGACCAGGCTGTTTGACTGTTTGACTGGGCTGGAGGGACCGGCTGAAGGAGCAATACCCCGCCAAAATGACATGGAAGTCAATCCAGCATGGGTTTATGGAAGACCTCCCATTGCGGAAACCTGGTCAATCTGCAGCTGGAAGTTTTTGGCTTCCCTGAGACAAGCAAACCGTCATCAGACCAGAGCAGCAGCCACTCAGCAACCTGCCCAAGCAACCGTGTTTTTTAACGCATCCTGATGGACGCCATTCAGGGCCATCCGTCAAACATCGCGGACTGAAACCTCCAGTGTCTCAGAGGGGAATGGAAAGAATAGGAGCTGGTTTGGCCGGGCCAGGCCGCCAGGGTTGGAAGAATCTCAGGACTCAACCACGCCATGAATTGTCAGAATTGTTCTGTTTGGAGATTCGTACTGTACCATACTGATCCATACTGTACCTGTTTGTGATCCAGCTGGTGCATCGCGATGCCTGCACGTCCAGTTCCGCGCGATGCCTGCACGCCAGGGGCTGGGATGGCAAAGTCCCCAGGACGCACTATAAATGGCCACACGGGGAACCCCGGACGTGGAAAAAGCTGCGATGGTGCAACCAACCAACCAACCAACCAACCAACCAAGCAACCAATTCTGCTAGTTTGGGTGATCGACCCGGTGTTCAGCGTGAAAGGAGTAAACCAAACAGTTATATGTGATGCTCCTTTATCGCAGTGGAGGATCCCATGAACATGCTACCATCCAAGACTCACTCCAAGACTCTGAACCGACTAAACAAACCTGGACCTTCCAACAAAAAGATTCTGGTCGTTTTTGGTTCTATAATGTTTTATGGTCGTTTTTGACGTTCTTCTTGTTTTGTTGTTTTTTTGCGGATTTGTGCGTTGGTTTGCAGTTTCATCGCCTGCCGTCTTGTGCAGGCTAAATCATCCGCTCTCGTCGTTTCTGCCGCGCTGGCGTGGAGGTTTGAATCCAGTCTCTTCACTTAGGCTTACTAGGTTTGAGGGATGAGCATGAGTGTGTTTAGCATGATAGGAACACTCACCTTGATGGCCTTGATGCTTACCATGTGTTTGTCCCATGACGCCTAGCCACATCATTCTCTTCCACCATGTGTTTGGGCCAAATGCAATCCTCAAAGTGCAGGTGGTTTCAGCACCACCGCTGCACCATTCTCGCGGCGCCGTCGAAAGACCGACTCCGCACACGACGTGCAGGACGTGTGCTTGGACCGGCTGGGCTTCCTGAGCTGCCCAGCAAGCCCGCCCGGGGGCCAGAAGCGACAGGCCATGGTGCCGTTGGAGCGATGCCAAACCACCGTGCTGGGTACGGCGCAGTGGTGAAGATACTCGCAGTTTACACTTGTTTGCTGGTCTCCCTATCGATACACGACAAAATGCTTGTGGTGAATAGAATTGACTCCTGAGCAATGTCAGCCAAACTGGTCTTGTGGTACTAAAAACCTGCACCATCCTGGACGGGCCACAACTGGCATAAAGATTGTCATGTGCAGTTCTGTGTGGGTGGATGTATATAGCTTTTTCAATGCTTCAGAAGCTACTATTTCCCGAATGAAATTGGTTTTAGCAGCAAGAGGCAATATGCCACAGTTGAAACAGACATATGGCATGGTGATATGTATCCAGGTCCAAATATGATCAAACATGTTGAGGAACCAAATATTGACACGTGTCCACATTGACATGAAAAAAAACATATATAATTATCCTTTTTCATTGGTGCACCACCATCGCATCTCAAAATCCAACCTCTCGAGCCAGCCTTCTCAGGCTCACGGTTTCCAAAACCGCGCTTTCCTGGCATTTTGGCGTGCTCCCTTTGGCTCTCCTCAGCCTGCTCTGAGGGGGGTTTGGGCCCATTCCGAGAAGGCAGACGAACTTCTCAAGTTAATGGTGAACCACTGATCGTGAGTGGCAGCAGCACCAGATATAGGACCAGATGCCGCAGGCAGATCATATTGTATCATTCTGATTCGAAATATACCAATCAAATCTGGCACTCGGACTAGGATGCAAAGAGCAGCACTTTGTCAGTATCTGGATGATCTATCTTTCATGTTCACTGGAGAGTGCACCCTGTCGCTCACACATCTGTGGCATTGAGTCTTGAGCTCGGTCTCACGGTGCCAAGATCACCATCGACGCGTGCGTTTCACGCAAAAGGGGCCTTGGCAGCCCTTACGTTGATGCGGAAAGAGCGCTTACCCTTGAAACCATCGGATTTAAATCCTCTCAAGCTCTTGGGTTCATGGTTCGTATTCATCCAACTATTTGTTATGGCTTTTGGCTGCCAAAGCTTGGTCTCACCGGAACACGACCCCTGACACGAGATATAAAACTGAGTCACCAAGAGGTGGACGACTGTTGGATGACCACCCAACAGCCGCACAGGTCTACTCCACCAGTCCGCAACGGGCTCGGCCGAGCTTGTCTCGTTTCGTAGCGACCAACTGGCTCAAAGCCGAGCTTTTCTTGAACAACACTGACATTGTCAGACATGAATACCCACCGTCACCAGGTTTTTTGACCCGGAAAATCTAATTGAGGTGATCTCCACAAGACGAGCCAAACAAACAGGTTTAGAGGCAAACGAAACATAGGGAAACAATCTTTTTCTACAAGAACGCTGATGGATCCCAAAAGCAAGTATCGAAAGCACTACCGTGAAATTGCGCGGACATGGCACTTCCAGAGGATTCTTCACGAAGACTCGGAGTTTGTTTCCTCATTTCCCCAGTTCCTCATCCAGCCGTTGGGAGCCGTTAGCGGCCGCGTGGTAGTCGTTGGTTGGCAACTGTCTCAATATTAGGTACTCCCACCATACCCCCGGGGTAGAATTGGGAAATACACCACGGAGCAGCAACTGATTGAGGTGTATTCTCAACCAGCTGCTTGGATTCGTACCTGTGGTTCAAGGCGATCGCCTCCAGCCTAAAGCTTCACAGCCCCTCCACCAAGCGAGACAAGTACTGTAATTAACACCCCAAAAAACAATATGATTTTGAGTAGCTTCTTGTACTATTGTTACTAGTAGTAACGCGAGGAGCTACTAGTAGCGTCCTTGCTCCTAGTCGCGATGCCCTTGTTACGAGTAGCGTCCTGTTCTTTTCCGACATCATGTGGGATGCATCCGACATCATTGGACCACTCATCGATGGATTCTTGGGGTGTCGATTGGACCACTCTCCAGCTTAACCATCCGGATGGATCTACAAAAAGGTAAGCAGCCCCCGTTTGTTTTTGACGTGTCAATCGATCGTTGAATCGAACATCTCGCCCGAAAAGGATGTGCTTCACCAGAGCCCAGCCCAATTCTGCAACCCAAAACGAAAGCTTTCTCCGTTGAGGAGCCGCTTCCAGAGTTTCAGGCACCAGCCCTGAAGGCACCCACAGCGAAGACCGAGCACCGGCAGCGTCGGGCATTTTATAGAAGACCGGAAGCTTTGGACAGATTGTCGGGGGGTTGGCATGGCTCGCCAGGTCGGGCTGCATTCATCTAGGACCAAGAGTTCAGGTGCTGTTTTTGAACCCACACTGATGCCCCAAGGATGGAAATACCAGGCACACAAGAGGGCGAGCACTCGCTTGTGCACTTGAAATTTACCTCGCTTGTGCACTTGAAATTTACCTCGCTTGTGCACTTGTACGATGACGATGACTACTACTACTACTACTACTACTACCACTACCACTTCTAGTACCACTGCATCTTTCTACTGCTACAAATGCGATGTTGACGACGACCACTACTACTCTTCTACTCTTCCACTACTACTACTACTACTACTACTGCTACTGCTACTGCTACTGCTACTGCTGCTGCTGCTGCTGCTGCTCCTGCTACTGCTACTGCTACTGCTACTGCCACAACTACTAGTACTACTACTACTAGTACTACTACTACTACTACCACTACTACTACTACTACTACTAC